CTGGGCACTCGCTCCTCCTTCCAGCGCGTACTCGCCTTACTTCAACAGAGGCAGGGGTCGTGGCCAAATGGGATCGTCCGTCAGCAAATTTTCTCAAGGATCTCGTTTGGAAAGGCCCATGTGCTTCGAATGTGGAGCGTTCGGTCACTTACGGGCTCAGTGTCAAGCAAAACAAGGAAGGTGAGTTCTTAGCAGGTGGCATTCACCGCAATATCCAGTTCTGGTTGAACCTGGACCTTTCGGAGCTAAATAAATCAGTCCTGCAACACGGGTTTTTGCCACGGTACTTCAGTCAACCGGAACTGGGTTTCATTAAGGACAATGCTACGAGCATACCAATATGCCGATTTTGTAGATTCGGAAATCAGTAAATTGGTTCACAGCAAGGCGATTCAAGAGGTCGAGGACCACGGCAATTTACGAATAAATCCTATCTCAGTAGCAGTCGGTAAGAAATTGCGCCTTATTTTAGACCTGTCCTGTCTCAATAAGAAGCTTCACAAGTCTAAAGTGAAGTTTGAAGACGTGGCCAAGGTTTTGCCTCTCCTCCCCCAAGGTGGTTATATGGCCTCATTTGATTTTAAGTCGGGTTACCATCACGTGAAAATGCACCCCGATTTCACAAGATTTTTGGGCTTTGAATGGCGACAGAAATACTTCAAATTTCTGGTCCTTCCGTTTGGGTTAGCTCCGGCTCCTTTCGTATTCACTAAGACGTTCCGGCCACTTTTGAGAAAATGGAGAGAAGAAAGGTTTATCAGTGGCACTTTATCTTGACGACGGCCTTATTTGGGCAAAGTCGGCACAGCTTTGTGAAGGAATATGTAAACATAATCAAACGGGACCTGAACTCAGCGGGAGTCTCCTGTGCGGAGGAAAAATGCAATTGGACCCCAACCCAAAGAATCACGTGGTTAGGCCACGAAATTGACTTAAACAAATATTACCTTACCACGGAGAGGAGAGAGAAAACCCGAGCTTTAGCCATGAAGCTTCTGAAAAGTAGAGGGACATCTCTACTAGATAGATTCAAATGGCTGGGTCATATCGCCTCAATGTACTTGGTGATTCCTTCAGATTTGAAAAGAAAGTGGAAGACCATCGTCACCCAAGTGGCTCGTGTGCAAACAGAGCAATGCGCGTTATCGTTTCGTTGGAAACTGTCACGGGAAGAAAGAAGTGAGTTATCTGATTGGTTAGACTTTGAATCCTCTTTTAAAGGAGTTCGATAGACATTCCCAAGTTAGTTCCTTATCGGGTGACATGTCCGACCCCTCCCCGTGGGGT